CAGACAGATGAGTGAGAGGAAGGGAGAGCGATGGAGGGACAGAGAGTGACAGAAAGAGAGAGAGAGAGAGCATGTGTAGAGGGCCACTTTTGCTTCTTAATTTTGAAACAAAGAAGTTCTCAGATATAATCGGTCCCGCAAAGATTGTGAAAGTGTTTTTTTGAGGGTTAAATATTGAGGGTTAAAAATTTAAGTTTATGGAGAAGCTGTGGCAGTTGTCTAGGTGATAAATTTGACTTGTTCCTTTAGTTTGTTTTTAAAAAAGATATTACATTCACTGAAATATGGTTAAATATGGAAATAAAAGAAAAAAAAAGAAAGAATGGAAAACACATTACAGTAATGCACTTACAATGGAAGCTTGCAGCTAGTGTTCCAAAGAGTTTAAAAGCAAAAATGTGAAGCTTGACATTTTTTAAGCACTTACATGAATTCTTCAGTTTAAAAGTTTTGCTATTTGCGCTTTAAAATCATTTTCTATAATAATAATGGTACATGTTTGTTTCATTACACCCCCTCCATATCACTTACTGTTATCCTGCTATCAGTGTTGGGGAGTAACTAGTTATATGTAAAGGAATTATGTAATTTAATTACACAATAAATGTAACTGTAATCTGTTACAGTTACTGAGAAGAAATGTGTAATTAAACGACAGTTACTTGTTAAAATGATAATGATAACTGTTAAAAACAGTTAAAAAAATTAACTGTTTTTTTCCCAAGGCAATGTTTAATGGTTTCCTGTCATATGATTTCAAAAACAGTATCATAGCTATTAAAATATATTGTTATGATGTTATGTTATGATAAAGTCTGATTTTGCGGTGGCTATGCTTTAAAATTAAATTATTATAATCTTAATTCAAGTGATGAAGGATTTTGAAAACCTGACAGTAATCAGTGTTATGTACTATTGTAAGGTTAACCATGCCTGCTTTAAATGGTTGAAAATGATTAACAGTTCAGAAAAACATGTAAAATTATTCAAATGTAATCAGTTAATTAATTTAATAAAGTAATTGAAATAGTTACTCTACTTATTAAATGTTAAATAAGGTAACTTGTAATCTGTAACCATTACATTTCCAAAGTAACCTTCCCAACACATAAATCATGTCATAAATACCAAGAAGTACTCTTTTGTATAAGAGACATGATTAACATGTGTAATATTTAAATGTTGTAGTGTTAAATGTTTTACTTTTGAAATAGTGTGATAGTTAAAAATAAATGGATATTTTAATTTCTCACATTTTATTAAATTATTCATATGGCTGCACACTTGCTTTTCAATTTCAATTTGCTAATTGTATTAACTGCAAACTTGTTTTCTTTTGTTTTCATGCTGATTATGTTCTGTTGCAGCTGACCACAGTTGTATTTTATCTGGAATATTCTTAAATAGCCATTTTATATGTGCTAGATTCCCATGGTGTAATATTTTAAATGAGATTTGGGAACTTGGGGAAGTGCTGCAAATATAAATCGGCATTGTTATACAACAGTCTACAGAGCCTGTTCCAGTCTGCCCTGATGTGTTCAGCGTGACGGTGACGCGGCGTCACCTCCCAGTCACGGGGAGAGAACTTCCGTGTCATAAGGTCAGCCGTTCAGCCCGATGTGTTTGTGTTTTAGTTGGGTAGTTTATATCTGAAAGCAAATCAAAGTTGGGCCAGAGCTGAATGTTCTATTAGATTGACGGCTATGAATGTGTGGAGATTGGATTTGAGAGCGAGAACCCGACAGATAGAGCCGAACAGGAACTCCCCGAGCTAAATGTCATAAGGGCCACGGTGTCACGGGGCCTGAAAATGATACACTACCATTTTTCATCATCTGCTCCTGAGACAGAGAGACACAATTGAATTGGGAGGCAGTATTGCAAATGAAAGATGTTTTATGAAAACTGACAATAGCCCATCATGGTTATATAAAATGGTTTGAATCGTCATAAATAAAGAAATGGAATAGAAAGGATATGTAAATTTCTCACTCTAGGGAGAGCGCACAACTGACTTGCTGGAATATTACAATTTAGGAGCTATTTATGATTGCAAATTTCAAACTCAATTTGCAACATACGTAAAATACATGGAATCTTAGTGTGTGAAGGGGATGTTTAAGAGGGAATATTTTCCTCTACCGATTTACATTTTTTTGCTCGAGTCCCAAAACTTGTGTGCTGACAGGGCGAAGGAGCGACTGTTGAAAAGAAATATTTCGTCGCTGCCATAGAAACTCTGGTGGAGAGAAAGATGGCAGGCCGATGAGAGTGAGGCACACAAAGAGGTGACAGAGGTAGATCACGAGAGAGTGAGCGAACAAAAGAAGGACAGAAATAGACTTCGAAAGAGTCAATGTAGCTTGACACAATGGGTGTAGGGTGAAGACAGGAGGAGCTGGCAAATGTGTATGTGTGTGGAGGGTGGAGGGGGTGGTGGCACTGTGCTTTACAAATGGGCAGCGGGGGAAAGACAGGTGAGAAGTAGTAAAAAACAAAAAGAGGGAAAAGACAAAAAGACAGAGGGATTCCCCAATGACACCTAATCTCTTCTTCTCTTTCTCACTGTCCTCTCTCCCTCTATTCCCTTCTTTTCTCCCAATAAATCATTTTGACTTCTCCTTAACCAACTCATTCCCAGCAGACAGGAGGCAAACTGCAACTATCCCTCCTCTGCAACTCTCTCCTTCCTCTCGCTTGCTCGCTTTTTCTCATTCCTGAAAAAAAGAAACCCTAAAAAAACGAAAACTATCACAGCTATCACCAAGGCAATGTGTCTTAAGGCATCATGACATCGACCATCATGTAATAAATATTACATAGCACTATTGCTTTAACTATCCGAGCTCACGGAATCTGTAACATCATATATCAGTTTCTGTGAAGACATGTGCATCCCTACCAGGACTCATTTAACATTCAATAATGATAAGCCATGGTTTACAGCAAAACTTCGTCATCTTCGTCAGGCCAAAGAGGACGCTACAACTATTTCTGTATCTGTGCATTATCTGTTCTTACATGTACATCCTAGAAAGAAAGAAAGAAAGAAAGAAAGAAAGACAGACAGACAGACAGACAGATAGATAGATAGATAGAAGGGTTGCCAGGTCTGCATAACAAAATCAGCCTAACTGGTACTCAAAGCTTGCCCAATTGCGTTGCGTGGGAAAATGGCTATCAAAATCTATCCAGGGGGCTCCACCTTGGTCGAAGTCATGTTCCGAGGCACCCACGGCAGCAGTATAAAAGTAGCCCAATTTTGTGGGAAAACCGCAGACTTGGCAACATTGAGACAGACAGACAGACAGACAGACAGACAGACAGATAGATAGATAGATAGATAGATAGATAGATAGATAGATAGATAGATAGATAGAGACAGACAGACAGATAGGCAGATAGATAGATAGATAGGGTTGCCAGGTCTGTGTAACAAAATCAGCCCAACTGGTACTCAAAACTAGCCCAATCATGACCAAAACAAGCTCAACTGTGTTGCGGGGGGAAATGGCTATCAAAATCTATCCAGGGGGGTCCACCTTGGTTGAAATCATGTACAGGGCTACGAAAACCACGAATTTGGCAACACTGAGGTAGATAGATAGATAGATAGATAGATAGATGTGCCCAGGTGTGTATATATAATTATTATAATAGGCCTGACAAGAGGGACACATCTTTCGAATTGATGCGATTTTAACATAAAACAAATGATGCGCACATACAGGAGCGGGAGAGACTGATTACTATCATATGAACATTAACATCAGCTCAACATCCTTTATGTGGATGAGTAGATCCCATGAGTGAAGGACAGAGATAGAGATGAGCCAATCCATCAATCCATTCACCCTCCTAAGAGGATTTCCCATAATTATTCCATATTAGAAAAGACTTACACTGTCTGGAGAGAGAGAAAGAGAGCTAGAGAGAGAGAGAGAGAGAGAGAGAG